GGGTTATTCCTGAAGAAAGTCAAGAATATCAGAGTTGCAACTAAAACTAGGTGACTTAAAAGGTGTAAATATCACTGATAAGAAAATCTCTTCCACTTTATTATTTGAGTTCTTAATATATTTGACAGTATTCTATAGTAGCAAGTGGGACAATATCATATTTTAGAGAAGACCTCTACCAAATCTTTCACACTATATGGAAAAACCAGCAGCTATGACTTTTGTCTGTTCTTGGGGGCTTAGATTTCTTTCATGTCCTTTTTGACATGTTAGGCCTCAAAACATGCCCCTCATCCTATTTGCCAAAAAAAGTGTCTGATAAAAAGCAGAACAGTACATGAAGATAGTAGTTTTTGAAGATTAGAAATGATAACATCTGTACCACTGATGTGAGTGAACAGAGTGACAACCGGCTGGCATAAAATCTAAAAAGCCAGGTAAGAGCTGCACGGGCCAGAACAAATGCTTTTTTGTTGCTATACATCTAAAACATTGCTCTGAGCAGAGATATCATTTCCTTTGGTCATCAAAACAATTTTGACTTCAAAGTTGATATTATTATTCAAAATGTGGAGTTGATTTTTCCAAACGATAGAATGATCAGAGACCACAAATGGGCTGCTGAGTAATGAGAGTTTTTAACATTCTGCTACCTCAAGAAAAATAGATCCAACATGATTCATTTCTTTTTTTCCTGCCTTGCCTTCGAAGAAACGTCTTCAGACTTCAATTATTAATGCATATTTTTAAATGGAACATACCACAGATATTGGTATCTGTTCTACTGTGTCTACTGGACAGAAGGAAAATTAATAGACCTGTACAGCTACACTTTATTTATCTGTGGGGGTTAATTTTATTGTATTTGAAATAACTATAAGAGAGTCCAGAGCACATTGTTTTTTGGGGTGTTTTTAGGGTGTAATGTGCATAAACCTAAATAAATATTGCTTATTCATTAGTATTTCTTACATGGCATTTCATTGTAAATAATAAGGTTCCTCAGCTTCTGAGTCCTGGTTAGAGAAAAATAAAATGCCATTTTCTTTGAACTGGAGACACCTCATGTTGAACTGATTCATTAAATACCACATTTGATTAGAGAAATACAGGTTGGAAATCAACAAAGAAAAAATATAGCATCAGTTCATTCTACTAAATTGATGGAGAGAAAGAAGTAATACCCAGGGAACTAAAAAGGTTAGAATCATAACCAGAAAATAAAAGGGCATTCAGGCTGGAATAACTCTAAGGCAGATTACGGCTCTGATGCTGCAAATGTTATGTGTAGGTATATGTAACACTATGAGGCTGCCAAAGAAGATGTAATGCAGGGTCAGATTTTCAAGTGCTCGTCACTCACAAGAGTGGTGAGATTTTCCCTGTGAGGGATGCTTACGGGGTCCGGTTGTTCAAGGTCTCTTGGTGGGTACTGGTCTCCATCAAGTCCCATGTACTTCAGTGAAGTGCTCAGTGGGTGCTTCTACATGTTCATTAATGCGCCTTTGCTACCGCACATTAAGTTTAGTACCTGGATGAAGTACTAGATAAAAGTGCAGTAGCTGTGCTAATGTGCAGTAGCAAAGGCAAACTGTTTTTTTGGTGATGCTTAATGCGCAGTAGACTAATTCTACTGTGCATTAAGGCGTCTTGTGTAGACGCACCCAGTTACTAGCTGTACTGAGCCCTCAGCACGATGGGAGTTTGCATGGAACTCAGCTCAGATCCTTCCATAGCGCTCCAACCACTCCAAACAGAAAGACTGCAGAACGTTCTTTAAGGTGATCCAAATAGAGGTGCAAATGTATGCATTATTCATTATTGACATTATTATGAGGCCAACTGATAGAGGTTTCATACAATTAAACCTTATATATTTTGCAAAATAAAATAAATATTCTGTGCTTTCTGTTTAAGAATTGAACACAATTATTATTTCCAGCCTCCCCACCACAGATATGATGACAACTCATTCAGAAATAACAAGGTGGCCTAAAGGCAGTTCTGTCAGCTGCCATGCAAAATACCTAGGATGTATTCCCAGACTCTCTTGCCGCTTGGTTTGGCAGGAATGAAAGTAAATGCAGAAGTAATGGTCTCAGTCATTACAGAGAGAGGATCCAAGTATTAATCAAGTGATCCCTACTGGATAATATTTTATAACCCCTAGGGAACCCTGTACATTTTCCTTGGCTGGAGATGATCAGTCTGGGAAGGATGTATGGTTAGAATTAAAAGTAGAGTTTACACTGGTAAGGATTTGCAGGGGTCTACACCAATCTAGGAGATTTTGCTAGTGAACAGGAGGATGATTTGTTTAAATACAGAGATTGTTCTTCAGACCTACTTGTAATAATAATAGTACCTAAATCTTATGCAGCTTTTACCCATACATCTCAAAGCATTTTGTTCAGGTGGGTCTGTATATTTATCCATTCAGTTCTGCATTATAAATAGAAAACCTGAAGTACAGAACAACAACATGACTTGCCCATACAGGCCAGGGACAAGCTATGAAGAGAACCTAAATTACCTGAGGCCTAGTCCAGTGCTCTATCCAGCAAAGTGAACTGCATGACAGGTCACTAGTTAATAACCCACAGAAACACTTTATTCTCTAAGGTAAACACTTTTTATACCACAAAGACTGTTGTTGCTTTTAATAGGATCACATTTAATAGTAATGTGAATACTGCCATGACATGCAGTTCACACCCCCATTTCTTTGCTGGTAAAGCTAGGGGGCTTAATTATCATAAATTCAATTGTACAGGAACCTTACCATGGCCGACCACAGTTTTTTGGTGAAAAGCTTTCAAACTTATCTCACCTCTTTGCTAGGCTAGAAATAAGATATATAGGGCATATTTTTCCTTTACTGGAAGGGAAGATTCCTCACTCTGGAACAGTATCCAGCACTCATGTCTAGCCTTGGAAACTCTGTGACATGAAGAATGTACAAAGGTGTGGTCTATCTCTTGGGATTGGAAGGAGCTTCTTGACTCACTTCTTGACTACTTCTCTCTCTTTTGATAGAGAGTACCTTGTAAATCAAGAAACTCATCCCAATCCCAACCCCAATCCCAATACACACACACACACTGTAAAACCTATATTAAAGGAACATTCAGGTTTCAAAGTCAAGCACCCCAAAATAAGGAAATGCCTCAGCCAGATCTGAAGATGCCCCTACAACCATCTAATCATGCTTAATTATATAGCCACCTACTTTTTGTTCCACAGGACCCTTGCCTGATTCAATGCAAACAAAAGGACAGTGCTTGCTAAGTGAGCAGCTACTCCCAATGGAATTTTTTTTGCCTCACTGTTCAATGTTTGCTCCTGTGGCCTATTTACTGCACATTATTCAAACCCTCTACTGAATACAGAGCTATTAATTTCCTCATGGGCTTTTCTATGGTGCTTCTCACGGGAGTGGTTTGCTAAGTGCTTTGCAAACCCTAATGAATTTAAATTCACAACAGCCATATGAAGTGGCAGGAATGATTGTCTCCATTTTACAGATGGGAACTGAGGTCCTGACAGATGAAGCTCAAAAGCAGCCTCATCATTTTAAGGGCCCACTTCGAGACGCTTGGGATTTGAGCTTTCCCCACATTTACTGTAATGTTGTTTAGTCTGGGTGCAGAGCCCATTGCTGCCAGGGGCTGGGATGGCTGGCACTGCAACCCCTATACCTCAGCTTGGGTGCCTATAGGACCGAGCACCTGTGTAAAGGTGCCCAGCTTCACATGTGGACTCTAGGATAGAGGCAGAGCTAGAACCCATTTCTCCAGGGCAATAATGACCCCCCTGCCACCCCCTGCTATGAAAAGCACCCCGACTTCTTTCCGGCAGCGTGGGCAGTGGTGGCCTTAGGGCAAAAATATGATTTTGGTGTTTTTTCGCAGGCAACTGAGCCAAAGACCTGCTGTGGAGGACCTAGAAAGAAGAAATATATTTAAACGTGAGTATTTTCTATTGTTTCATTTTCCTTATAGTATTTTATATGGTTTTGTAGAAACCACTGAGTACATTTCTATGGAGCATTCCTTTTCTGTAGACAAATTCATACTTCCTGCTTGGTAATAAATGTCACAACTAAAGTTTTAATTTTGTATGGGCTCTGCATTTCGTAGATTAATAAACTGTAGAGTCAGAAAGGACCGATTCAAAACTGGTCGGAAGGGACCGATTCAAAACTGGAGTTTCTAGCTTTGAGGGGCGCATCCTTAGGGCTGTTGGGGCCCTGCTCAAGAGAATCATTCGGGGCCCCTCCGACGACCCATACGCAAGTTGGACATTTTTGATGTCAAGAAGCAAGGCGTACGTACCCAATTTCACAAAGCGAGGTGTACATACCCAATTTCATGAAGCGAGGCGTACATACCCGATTTCACGAAGCGAGGCGTACATAGCGTATTAACTATTAACCCACCCCCCATTGCATCGTGAACCTTTTTAATATTCTTTGGTGGGGAAATTAGCTAAATAGCCCAGCATTACCATGCAAACGGAGCCGCTTCCTTGCAAAAACTTCACCCTCCCCCAAAAAATCATAGCAAAATTTCCAGGCCCCGGGAGGGCACCTAGTTCGCCCTCCCCTACGGCACAACACGGCACAGGGCGGCTAGACACCTCCTTGCTGGCTTTGGAGGTCGTCGACGGGGGACGGAGAGAGAGAGCCCCCTGCCCTGCTCTGCTGGGGCAATAGCCGATGTCCGAGGAGGTGGGGGTGCCCGGGGGAGCGGGGGGCGGAGGGGCTCCCTCCTGCCTTGCACCTGCCCCTGTGTGCAGTGCAGGTGCC